GTGCTAATAACTAGCTGCTCGTGTGTTTATTGTTTGTTTGTTTTTAATTATGCACAAAGCTACACAAGGGCTATCGGTGCCCTGCCCACCACGGGTATCGAAACCCGGTTTCTCGCGTTGTAAGTTCGCAGAAATACTGCTGTGCTACTGGGGGGAGGGGGGGCTAGAATATTTGTAGACTAATAGAATGAAATCGTTAATTATAAGTGGAAAGACGCTGTAATCATAATTTAAATAATTCAAACACCCATGACCTTAACATCATATGAAATCAAGTAAGACATTGATTTGAAAACGAAATATTATTTTGATACGCTTTCGGAGTTATGCATATTATGCCCCTTGATTAAATGAGTGTGTTTGTTTTTTTTTAACAAAGCCATTTCAGGCTATCTGCCGTGTCCACCGAGAGAATCGAACCTCTGATTCTAGCGTTGTAAATCCTCTGTTCCAATGATAAATTCACACGCTGGAAACAAACTATTTACTCTGAATTACAGTTTCTAATTACGATTACACAGTTGTGTGCCTATATTTGTTATAAATAGTTCTTTCTCTCCTGCATATTACAAAAGTTAATTAATTGTATTTCAAGAATAAAAATATAGTTTATACATTTTGTTGTTATTTAAATAAAATGCCACGTTCCTGCGCTACATTTTCCACGTGGTTGTGTTAAAGCATGTGACTTTGAAACGAGTAACCTTATTGGATGAACGGAGACTCCCGCTCGCCTCGGTTTCGCGCCAAACCATGAAAGCACTGACACGTTATTCTTGTATAATGCCGCCAAAAATATAGTTATCCTGCAGATTCCAGTTATAGTGTTTGTAATTCAACATTTGAGGGTATTTTTTTAGTTTATATGAAAAGTTATTCTTAATAGTGACCGATAGTTCACATTCATTTGTGTGTTTTCGTTTACATTCAGAAGATTTTGCCGTCTCTATCCGTCAGTGCGGACGAATACCGTCTATCTCACCAATTACAATTATTGATCCCTCCACGGTGTAGCGTACAGAAGCCGGGTGAACTGAGTACTATCACGTGTAGTGTACGCGGTGCGGCAGGTCGGACTGTTCTTTTTTTCAGAAGCTGAGTTGGAATAAACTTGGAAGAAATGTGTACGTTGATGCAAGCGAAGAGAACGTAGAGGTACGTACGTGTGTTAGAATATGGCTGACGGTAGTATTAGTATAGAATTTACCCATCAGAAATACCCTACCGCGTTACGGACTGCAATGTCGGGAAAACTCCACTGTGACTTCTACAACTCACAAGTGTTATATAACGTAGGACTACTGTTAGTGTTGTTATTACTACGTAGTTTAAATTTGAGTAACACGAAACGTTTTCAACTTTTTGTTAAAAATGTTAGCTGTTTTTATAATGGTTTTTGAACTTGTGATCATTGTAACAGATACAATAATTAAAGAACCGATAATATACTAATGATATTATTATTTAATATTAATAACGCTCCCTGGTGAAACTTTGTTATTATGATATAATATAGAAATAACTTATTTTTTTAGACTATCTCGTGGACGACTAATATTACTCAAACAGTTTGAACTTTCTAATTTTCTCTGAAAGTTGACGTTTTTTTTTTATATATTTCCCACAGTTTACGTGTATAGTTTTGCCATTTTATTTTTGTTTTCGCACATTATTTCTATTTAGAAATAATCTTAACAACTAGAAATCATAGACAAAGTTTAATAAGCGAAAGTATAACTACACAGTCTGAAGGCCCGCACATACTAATCCATTAAACTCGTGCGTGTGGAGGTATTTAAATCTCTCTCGTCAAGGCACCGGTAGGGGAAGGGCAATGCGAACCCCTCCTCGTTTCCATGGTGAGCGACGAAGTAGTGATTGGCCTTGCAGTTCCCGCGTCCAAGTTCTGCGACCGCGTATTACCTTGAACCTAGGGTAACAAGTGTATGTGCGACCAACCAACCATTGACAAGCTTTACTTTCTCAGTTAAGGCCATCTTTTAGTTTAGTTTAAAAAATATATATTAACACATACACTGTCGAGAAGCTACGAAACTTTGACGTACACGTACAACGCTAAAAGTGTTAAACATTTAAAATCATTTTCAATGAAAGAAAATCATTGAAACGTTTTGAGTTGTTTTTTTTTTTACTATTTGTGTAATGTCTATAACATTTTGTTCATCCGGGGACTTTTACTTTCAGAGATAATCGTCATTACTAGATTATGTAATAATCAGTATAATAATAATTCCTAGGAATAAAAAGGTGGATATATACGCTTAGTTAGATGAGGGGGGGGGGTAATTTACTGTACCTACGCCCTTGATATTTTGCAATAATTATAAAATATGTAACTTGTATTTAAACAGTTTTCGATAATTCGTACTGTTGATATTAAAATATCTATTTAAGAACAATTTATTTCGGCAACCGGCGTGTTTTCCAAGTATTGTCATATTGTTGATGTGCACTGCGTAACATAACCCGCGTTAACAGGTGAAGTACACTCTCCACTACACCGCTCTTAAGAGCCTTATCTGTCAATGTTGTTGAAATGTAGGTTTAACTAAATACTATACGAGACATTACAGCCAATGAAACTTTTTGTTATCTGTTGAGTAACCCTGTGTTCTACTTCTCTTATCGGCTTTTATCTCATTTAAAGGTTTTTTATCTGGAGAAAGTGTGTGTGATCAGACAAGATGGGAACCCAAGACATCTTTTCTAGAGGATGTCTAGATTCCTGTGTCATTCCATCCTTTACTAGTGAAGTTTTTGACTATTTATCGTCAGATAGTGAATTCTACAATACTCCTGCCCCTAGTGAGAATATCTGGAAGAAGTTTGATCTTCCAACCCCCCCTCGGTCTCCAGAACACGTTCTTTCTGGAGACGTCTTCTGTCATCATCCGTTCAGTCCGTGTGAACGTCTCCAGCGGGTTTCGGATCTCCTGGACATAGATTTTTTACCCTCTCAAGACTTTGATAGTTATTTTGGTGGATTTAGTAGTTGGTCAGGTCTGGTGGACTCAAAGGTCAAGGATGGACTGAAAGTTGAATTGATACACGATTGTATGTGGTCTGGCCGTTGTACCGAGGACTGCAAGCAGAAAGACCGACCATTTCAAGACTTTTCTTTTCAGCCGCTAAATCATACGGTAACACCTTATTACGACTCTGTGACTGAAGACAATTCGCTTGATGATTGTACAGACGTCCCCCCTAGTGACTCGGGACCGCTGCGCAACGACCACTGCTATTATCAACGCCATTGTCAAAATCACGATAAAGATATCAAGGGGACAAAGTTTCATCACTCCACCCCGGCGTCAGGTCTGGATCACCTTGAAAGCGACTCACCGTCAGATTCTGGTAAGTGATATAAGGTTTGATAAAGTTATCAACTTGCATTCATTCATGAAATAACGTTACACTAGAAATATTTATCAGTACATAATTTGGTTCGCAACGCACAACCGAACTGAACAGAACGTTGAACAAGCCGATGTAAAGGAAACACTTTTAAATAACAAATAAACCAACAATACATTTCGGCAAGGTTTACAACTACGTGATTGTGGCTTCTTAGGGTTAACCATCGCACCTACGCTGACCAGTTCAGCGATGAATTTGTGTTCGAAGTTTGTGAGATTTTATAGTTTATGTAATACTTTTATTGGTACAGAGTACACAGTGTTACGTAACTCCCTTATTTACTTTTAAGGATAGTTACTTGAATACATCTTAGTCATTCTTACTTTCAGTTTCAGTTGATACTCTGTAACGTTTTTTCTTTTACTTTTTGATATACGCTGTATTATCTATGACAGCGTTATCTTTATAGTTGTGTCCTTGTTTTGTGAATAATGTTATACAGCTGATTAGATCTAGGTACTTCAGACTTCGAGTGCCCACTTTTCAAAACAATTATCTTTCATCTGAACTTTAACTGCTGTTACATTACATTCACTCAGTGTATGTATGTATTTGAGTGAATTTTTATAGCAGTTATCTTATAATAAAGAATTGGTTTTCCAGTCGAAGCTTATGCCGCCATCTAGTGGCGAAGTTATGAACTTTTGTATTCTAGAAATTATAACTATTGAGTACATCTTAAAACCTTTTTGTTTTTAATTTTTCTTTTGATAGTATAGGGAATATCTTTGGGCTATACACTGTAGCTATAAGCATAATTGTTGAAATCATTGATACTAACTCGTATCTTTCATCGTATGTGATTCTGTTAGTGTTAGCATTCAGAACAAAAAACTAATTAATAATAGCACGACACGTTGTCTTGCAGTAAAATGTTTTCTTCACATATAAACTTAACACTTCTAAATTAATGTTTTCTAATAGTCGACGTTTTCAGCGTTTGATATTGTTACTCGAGACTTGTAACCTAAGCCTACATTCACAACTTTCTTAGAAGAAAAAAAAAGCACGTGTATGGGGAGGCATTGTGTACCATTGCTAGCTAGGGTAAAGGTCTTCAACCGAACATTTTTAGTACCATTTCTATTTTTGAAGACTGAGGTAAGGTATTTAGAGGCTCGTGTGTCTGAGATCTTACGTTCTTTGTTATCGTATCTGACAAAAAAAAAACAACATAAACATAAGAGGTGAACGAACTTCTCCCCCACGTGGAATAGAATAGACTACCCCATCTCCTAACCCTAATCTGCACTACCTGTGTTTTAGAAACCTATACTGTTTATCAGAAGGTTTTTTTTTCTTCTTGAAATAGGTAACCAAATGTTGTATTGTTTACAGTTTATAATATGATAAAGTATCACTTCTTCAGACTATTACGAGGATAATCGGGACGTGTCTGGGTCATGTAAGTTTAACAAAAACAACTTAACTTCCCCACATTGGAGTATAAAAATATTTCATGGAGTCAGCTGTCGATGTAGGGCGTGGGGTCATTTATCTTGGTAAACTAAGCTCGCGCGGTACATTTTGTTGTCTACCTATTTCCAATGTTATTACCGAGACTTAAATGTTTAAATCAGCTGAAATGAAACAAAAATAACAGTAAGATTAGTTTTTTTTTCACTTATCAGATTTCGAAGTTAAATAACAATGTTTAGGTACTTTTAATGTTCAGAAAAGAGAAATTCGCTTAGTTTTCTCGATCGTTATCTTTAAAATAAAAATGATACACGTGTAAATTCTACGTTGAAATAAAGGTTAGGACTAAATGTTTTTCATCCATTTCAGAAATAGATGTCGTGACGGTCGACAATTCGTTATCATCGTGCCGAAAGAAAGGTAATCGAAGTTTTAAAGAGTCTAACGAAAACACGTGTTTCACGCCGAAAGTGTTATCGTATTCTGTTCAGAATGGAAAACTAGTTGCTCAGAAAACTCTAAAACGACTTGTATCTTCTGATAGCAGCAGTGACATTGGGAAAAGGAAAATCCGGAGAACGGAAAACAAGAAATTTGACGGGATCTACAGCAAGTCGCGGTCCAGTAGGTCGTGGGGTAGCCGTTCTAGTTCAGACTCGGATGATCCAATAAGAATACGCAAAGAACACAATAATATGGAACGAAAGAGGCGAGACGACTTACGTTTCGCTTTTCAGACTCTGAGGGAAAACGTTCCGGATATAATGGAGAATTCCAAGGCCCCGAAAGTTATGATCTTGAAAAAAGCGACGACGTATTTACAACAGTTAACAAACGCCGGACTACTTTTAGAACGTTCGTTAAAGGCCGAATCACGGAAGAAATTAGAACTTCAGCGGAAGCTACAACAGCTACAAAAAAATAGTTCTAGAAATTTCCGTCGAAGTTGAAATAAATTTAATTATTCTTTGATACTGGTTTTTTTTTAAAATAAATATAGTCAGAGTATTTTCTATTGACCAATTTTCTTTCTTTTGTTAGGATTATAGAAACTATGTTCTTTAATTTAGATTTTTTTTTGTTTCTGCTTTACAGAAACCATTGGCTCGTGTGTAACGAGTGATGTTGCGTGTAATTGGTAGCGAGAGTTTATCTAACATCACGATTTTAGTTAAATTAAAACATATCAATACATTGAATCAGTGTTTGTTTTGTGTGTTGGACCGTATTTTGTTTTCTTTGAAATTGAACATTTGGTGTCTAGGAAAGTTTTACGACTCTTTAACGAAATCTTTAATGTTTCAGAAATGTCTATTTATGGAGTGATGTAAAATTCGTGCACCGTAGATTTCGCGACACGCGTTTTCTGACATTTATAATGTTACATTTCTGTTGTTATTACGGCTTTTAGCTTCAAACCTTTAAGGATGTAAAATAAATACTCAGAAGTTCGAGACCCCAACGGGTTAAAAAAACCTCGGTGTTGGAAGTTCAGGAAATCGTGCAGGATTTCTTCACGTGCTCTTGGAAGACTGACGTCCCAACTAATCATTCTAACAATAGAAAAACGCCCCCCAGTGGCACATCGGTATGTCTGCGGACTTAAACGCTAGAAACCGGGTTTCGATGCCCATGGTGGACAGAACACAAATAGCTCATTTTGTAGCTTTGTGCTTAATTACCATCAAACAAAAGAAAAACACAGTAAAAACCCAAACTTACCACATGAAAAAAAAAAAACCCAGTAAAACCCAAACTTAACTTACAACGTGACAGTCAGCGAATTTTGAATCATCCTATGTTAAACTTTCAAAAATCGTGCATTTTTAAAATAAAATTTTTGCCAGTCTGATCATAAAAACAACAACAACAACAAAAAAAAAAACCGTTGTGCTTATTCTGGCATTTATTTTCAAAGTTAATATAACTAATTCTTGACATGTTTTTTTCGTTAAATGTACTGTTTTGTTTAGGATAAAAGAAATGTTTATTCATTTTATTTAAATGGTTCATTTAAATTTCCTCTGTGTAAAATATAAAATAGATACTCGTATGGAAACCTGTATACGTATAGTTTTAGTTTACGTATACGTATACGTGTATACGTATTCATAGTTTATGTATAAAATATGGTACTTAACTTGACAAGGAGAATTAAGTTTATTCGCTCCTCCATTGTATTTACCTTTCAGGGTTTTGTTTTTTTCTAGAGCTGACCTGGTTGCTCGGTAGACGATTAGCTAAATCAAGTTGTATCTATCTATCTATTGTTGTTTTGCCATTAAATGATTGGAATGTATCCTTCTTCGTAAGCAACTAGATGTCTTTGGAACGAGTTCTAGGTCGTGAAGTGGGCTATAGTTTTAAACTATGGCGCCGCCCCCTGGTGGCTTAGCGGTAAGTCTGAGAGTTTATAACGATAAAAAATCGGGTCTCGATATCCGGGATGGGCAGAGCATAGATAGCCCAGTTTGTAGCTTCGTGCTTAACAACAAACAAAGAATGCTACAATCTGGGGTTCAATTCCCGCGGTGAACATAGCGGAAACAGTCCGTTGGGTAGCTTTGTGCTAAAAACACAACACAACATGGGCAATGTATGAATGATAGCATAAAAAAAAATCGTCTTTTCAAGAAACTGCAAACTTTTAAAATTAGGGTTAAGAAAGAAGCTCGCATTTCTTCCCATTACGCTAGTTTACAAAAAACAAATTGAATCAAACAAACGCGAGTGAATAAAATATAATTAGTTCTCTAGTTAGGTTGTTGAAAAGTTAGCAACAATTCAAACTTATTCCTTCCATCAGCGACCTGTTATTTTAACTTAAAGTTGTCGGATATTTCCTCCAGAGAACGCTGTGTCACTTAAAAGAGAAATTTGATTTATAAAATGTTTTTATTTACTTAAAAACGAAACTTGATTTCGTTAGTATATCAGATGGATGAAGCCGGAGGGGGGGGTCTCTCTACAAAAATAGGCTTAAGAAAACTACATTAATTAGCCTGTTTGGCAAATATCACATTGATATTGGCTTCGAATCTTCGCTGTTTGTACGTGTGTTATGTGTGTGTGTGTGGGGGGGGGGGGGGGCGTAACCTTGTATACAAACCTGGAGAGTGTGCCATAGCGAATCCACCCGTGAGGATATTTCCGTATTCGTAAGTTTAATGATTTGGTGATCACGTGACTTCTGCTACCGTTTCGTTTCCTCGGGAGTTCAGTGGATATTTTTTGAGAAGACTGTCGTTCAGTGTTGTAGATAACTAATTGGTCCGTATCTACTTGAGCTTCAAATAGCTATTTTCAGAGTGTTTCTAATTAATAATTTAGAATATTTACAGAAATATTGTTAAATTTAATAATGTAGTGAAAAACCGTGTTCGTGTTCTTTACTTGCAAGATGAATAATTTCAATTTGTTTTATTGGTTATAAAAATTCAACGAAACTGTATCGCGTTGTTTAAGTAACTTTTATGACAAGGTTTGTAAACACCGTGCCTTCTCTTCCAGTGTGTTTTGGGAGAAATTTAAATGGTTACTATTGATTTTGTTGAAAAAAAAACCAACAACGTTATATAATTTTCTTGGTACTGTTCCTACACGATACTGTTGTATAATAATTAACTTATAAATACACGTTTCTAACATGTTTGAGTGAAAATAAAGCATACATTATCATCCACGCTTCTCTGTTTGTTTTGTTTACATACACACGTACTGAATCAGACTTGTATTACACGAACTAGGACGTTATTACTGGAAGATTAAACAGCAACTTGCGTTTGGTGCCGAGATGGATGGAGACCACTACGTTAACTAAGAAGTTTGAGAGAAATTATGTCCCCCGGTGGGACAGTGGTATACGTTTACGGACTTACAGCTCTAAAGTCCAGGGTCCGATTCCCCGCGGAGGACACAATGCGGCTTTACTCTCGAACAAAGCAAAATCAAACTCGTAAGCTGAGATGTATTAATTTTTCAACTTAAAACACACAAGCGTATTTTAGGCTTTTGTCTTATTACGTAGCCGTTACTAGGTTACAGATTCCACAACATTATTGTTAAATCACCAGCTCCAGGGATAAAAATTTTGTTTATCGGTTTCCAGTTAAAATGCCACAAACATTGGAGGGTTTTCCCTCTAAATAATATCCAACCATTTAGGACTAGATTCAGCTGAGAAGTTCCACCATAAATGTAACTGACTAGTTCGCCGTCTGAAAGAAATGTTAATAATTTCGTACACCAGTAATTTAAGTACGACATTATATCACATTATATCGCTGTAGTTGCCACGGGAACGAAGCTTCTGTTATAATTGAAATTGACATTATCTGTTCAGACCACGACGTAGGATAATACGTCATTTGATAGATGGAAATATTGACTTTCTATTGGTTGTAGATTATATATATACAATTGAACGTAAGAGAGAACTATTAACAAATCCTGAAAGACAGGGGTGTGAGGACATATTCTGTAAACTGAATAGGTGTGGTTTCACAAAAAGGTTAAGAACCACTGCTTTAAAGCTTTGAGGATTTTCAACGAACCGGTTGAGATCACAGAGTGCATGGTTCTGCTTGTGTCGCCATCTAACGAGAGACTGAAGAATCTGAGCTTATGTATAAGGTTAAGATAATTTATTCACATATCTTTAGTGTCAGACTCCCGCAGGTACCGACCTATAGAATTAACTTTACAATGTGTCTCGAGTTATAGGTAAAACAATGTTCTAAATTTGAGTGTATAGTTTTCTTTCATGCTTTTGCCACTTGTTTGTGACAGTTCAAAGAAATTATAATTATTACTTGAACTTGTGTTATAAAGCCTTCACTAATTAGTATTTAGATAAGGTGTAGGAAGCTAACACTAATTGATATTTAGATGAACTGTATGAAGCTAACACTAATTGATATTTAGATGAAGTGTACGAAGCTAACACTAATTGATATTTAAATGAAGTGTATGAAGTTAACACTAATTGATATTTAAATGAATTGTATGAAGCTAACACTAATTGATATTTAGATAAGGTGTATGAAGCTAACACTAATTGATATTTAGATAAGATGTATGAAGCTATCACTAATTGATATTTAAATGAAGTGTATGAAGCTAACACTAATTAGTATTTAGCTAAGGTGTATGAAGCTAACACTAATTAGTATTTAGCTAAGGTGTATGAAGCTATCACTAATCAGTATTTAGATAAGGTGTATGAAGCTAACACTAACTGGTATTTAGATAAGGTGTACGAAGCTAACACAAACTGGCATTTAGATTAAGTTTATGAAGCTAACACTAACTGGTATTTAGATAAGGTGTATGAAGCTAACACTAAGTGATATTTAGATGAAGTGTATGAAGCTAACACTAACTGGTATTTAGATAAGGTGTATGAAGCTAACACAAACTAGCATTTAGATTAAGTTTATGAAGCTAACACTAACTGGTATTTAGATAAGGTGTATGAAGCTAACATTAACTGATATTTAAATGAGGTGTCTTTACATGTTAAGTACACATCTGTGACTTAAGACAGTTTTAATAAAAACTGAATAAATGTGACGTCACTCTTAATATGAAGAGTTATTTTTCAACGCCTCCTGCTGCTAATAATTATATCCACACGTGGGTGAGCTACTTCAGAGACACAGAATTTGTATTATTTTGGTAACATAAACGACTGTTAGTGGCTAAAATAAGCTAGCACTATCTGCTCCAGGGCTAAATAAATTGTTAACAAACCCTACATAATGTAAATTGATAACAAACCCTACATAATATAAATTGTTAAATTGATAACAAACCCTACATAATATAAATTGATAACAAACCCTACATAATATAAATTGATAACAAACCCTACATAATATAAATTGATAACAAACCCTACATAATATAAATTGATAACAAACCCTACATAATATAAATTGATAACAAACCCTACATAATATAAATTGTTAAATTGATAACAAACCCTACAAAATATAAATTGTTAACAAACCCTACATAATATAAATTGATAACAAACCCTACATAATATAAATTGATAACAAACCCTACATAATATAAATTGATAACAAACCCTACAAAATATAAATTGTTAACAAACCCTACAAAATATAAATTGTTAACAAACCCTACAATATAAAAATTGCTGCTAAGTACAAAAGTACACAAATTGCTATCTGTGCTCATCTCACAACGGGTACAGAAACTCGGTTTTAAGCCCCCAGACTTACTGATGAGTCACCAGGGGTCGTTTCTAAATGAGTTTGGTTTAATAGGTTCTGACAGCTGCACTGAAAAGAAATACAGAAAGAGAGAGAGAAAAAAAAGGAGCATCTATATAGATTTAAATAACAAACCCTACATAATATAAATTGATAACAAACCCTACATAATCAATTTATATTATGTAGGGTTTGTTAACAATTTATATTATGTAGGGTTTGTTATTAATTTATATTTTGTAGGGTTTGTTATCAATTTAACAATTTATATTATGAATTCATAATATAAATTGTTAAATTGATAACAAACCCTACAAAATATAAATTAATAACAAACCCTACAAAATATAAATTGTTAACAAACCCTACATAATATAAATTGATAACAAACCCATACTTGTAAGCCCAAGCGCGGGCCTAATGGTTAGCGTGTCGAACTGCGTATCAGAAGGCTCAAGGTTCGAGAATGCAACTGTATACGCTTCAAATTTCAAATATTGGCGCGTTATAAAAGTGGCAGTTAGTTCCGTTAGACGACTAAGGGTAGTCGTATAGGGCCTACTGATTGGTCGTTCTGCTTCTGGCGTG